TGGGGTGTCCTACCTGCTTTACAGATAAGGAGATGGGCTTGCCGAGGGGAAGCTACTTGCCTGAGGTCACCCAGCTAGTAAGTAGGCGGTGAGTCAAGTATCAGACCCAGGTCCGGGTGGTTCCCAGGCTAAGATTCTTAACCAGCATGCATTGCAAGATCCTAAAAGGCAATGTCAATCTGTCTGTGGAAAGGAGTTCCCCAAAGTAAACTTGAAGTAGCCCAGGTAAATTAGGAAAGGGTCACAATTTTATGGTCAGAGATTTTAAGGAAAAACCAAGTGATGCAACCTCTTCATGTAATAAGAAAACAGATACAATTCTTTAATTTTGTCCTTAGCTTAACCCTTCACTAACATCCAGCAGCTCGGAGTGTACAGAGAAAGGCAGTAAATTCCTCATCTGTATCCCAGTGTGCCAACTGTTTTGGTTTTAATTGTGTCAGGTGTGTCTTCCTTCTGCCTGGAGGTCCTTCCTTAGGTTTGAAAATATCATGATCACATCAACAGTGTGAGAGGTGGTGGGAGAGCTGAGGTTCCACATGTGTCAACAACAGATGTGCACGTCTCCTGGAGCACTGGAAAAAAGAGTAATAGGAGTTCCCTTAGGGCTGTGCTCCACGTGCCCCAGGAGGGGATAAGGACGAAAGCCTCTGTAATTTATATTGACTGCTGAGGTAACCAGGTGCTTTCAGCAAGCATTCCAGTTGCAAATTTGGGTTTTAACAACCTTCCCAACAACCTCTGGGGAGGGAGGGAGACAAAGAGGGAAGAGATATGGGAACATATATATATGTATAACTGACTCACTCTGTTATAAAGCAGAAACTAACACACCATTGTAAAGCAATTATACCCCAATAAAGATGTTAAAAAAATAAAAAAATAAAAAAAAAATGCACACTGATATGACAGCTGTCACAATACAATCTAACAAAATTGTTTCGAATGAAGTTAAAGACAACTAAGCACTGCTAGAGTCATCTTACAGAAAAAAACCAAACAAACCTTTTGGCCAACCCAATAGTATATGGTTTCAGTCTTTTTCCTCTAATTGTGAAAGGCCGCTGTCCTAATTGAGGGACCACTGCCTTGGCTCGTGGGGACTTAAGTGATGGCCACACTCATCAGTGCTATCCTGACCTCATAAAATATACTGAGACGTGAGGAAAGGAGAGGCCACTGCTCTTTCCAAATGGGAATGGCATAGGGTCTGAAGTGACAATGATTCTCTCCTTGTCTCTTGGCAATTGTTTAAGTTGCTCTGTTCATAGAGGAAATAATGTAGCTTATGTTTGAATAAGTTTTTTAAAAAATTAGTGGAATGCTATATTTCAGTGGTTAAAATTTGGTCAGCTCATGAATGGACTGATTCAGGAGAGGCCAGATTTCCACTGCTCTGCCTCTTATGCCCCACTGGCCTCCGAAGAGTCCCTTCATTTGTTCATCTGTCTTTCATTTGCTTTGAGCACTTTGTCTCCAAGTTTTAAGGTAAATTCTGTGCAAAATGGGAAGAGGCAACCCTAATGGACACTATTTATGCAAAGAATTTGCTGAGTATCTTCACCAGAGGCAGCAGATCTGAAGCTGGATTTTTCTCACTGGTAAATAGAACAAATGAGGACATTTTATATTGCAAAGATGTTAGTTACAATAGTTATTTTTTCTGATGATAGTAACTAAATCTTTAGCCATATACTTGAATTCCAAAATGAATTATGCTTCTATTCAGGTAAAATAAAATTTCTGATGTGGAAATTTATACATTAATTTGTTGTTTTCATTTTCCAATGCAAGAACTGCTGGTGAGGTGAAATGACTGTGTGGTTTTATTATAGCTTGTGTACTAGTTAGGGTTCTCCACAGAAACAGAACCAATAGGAGATACACACACACACACACACACACACACACACACACACATATATACCTATACCGATACATATACAGAGAGAGAGAGATGTATTTTAAGGAGCTGACTCACACAATTGTGGCGGCCAGCATGTCTGAAATGTGCAGGGCAGGCCTGAAGGCTGGAGACTCAAGGAAGAGCTGATGTTGCAACCCAAGTTCAAAGGCAGTCTGGAGTCAGAATTCCCTCTTCTCGGGACCTCTGTCTTTTTTGTACCTAAGGCCTTTAACTGATTGGATGAGACCCACCCACATTATGGAGGCTAGTCTGCTTTACTCAAAGTCTACCGACTTAAATATTAATCATATCTAAAAAAAATACCTTCACAGTAACATCTAGACTAGTGTTTGACCAAAAACTGGACACCATGGCCTAGCCAAGTCAACACATAAAATTAAGCATTATAGCTTGTTAATTAATAAATGTCCACAAGTTTACAACAAGTACATACCCTGGAATGAATGAGACATTCATACTGCACCAAATCATCTGATTAAAAGACAAAAACATAGGGATAGATTGGGAGTTTGGGACTGACATGTATACACTGCTATCTTTAAAATAAAATGCTTTTCCATTAAAAAAAAAAAAGACAAAGACATATTTTTGAGACTTAGATGTTCAGAGCTCATACAGACCTCTTACTCACCAGGGATGGGCAGACCAAAGATCATATTCTTTGGGCCAGTTTTTCCCAGCCCTGGGCCTGCTTCCCAGCTCCCACTCCCATAATTGCCATCTGCAGACCTGTCCCCTTTCACACCCCCACCCCACCCCCACCCCCCCAGCTGGAGTTTGTGATGGAGAATAGAGTGTACCCATCCATGGGTATGGTCTGGCTTGGGACATTAAGTCTAACTCAACCATTTCATTTAGCAGAAGGAGAAAAAGGCTCAGAGGAAACTCTTGAAAAGAATTTGTTCACTGTAGTAGTATTGAAACCGAGCAGCACCCTGCGGGGCCCTCCCAGGTACAAAAGGGCTTCCATGTCCCCTGTTTCTTGTTTGTAGAAAAGCTGTAGTCTCTGAGGCCTCCCCTGAGTCGCAAAAGAGCAGGCTCAAGCAGTTCGTGATTAGGACAAAAGAGTCACAGAATCTTTAGTTCCTCCCTGAAGAACATAGATAACAGTGTCTGATTCACATTCCTGAATTGTTTTGCAAAATACTAAAACCACTACCATATGGAAAAAGCTAACTGCATGATGACTAGACTATATCCATGACATAAGCTGCTCCATCTTACACAATTTGCAAGAACTGGCCTCAAGGAAATGGAGACAAATCGACCTGGAATTGAAGATTAACTGCACTTAAAACAATCAAGATGACACCGACCAGACCACCACACGACCAGTTTCAGGATGATTGTCGGAGCTGACTGTGCTGTTCTGCACACTCCTGAAACTTCCCCGTTTTTCCCTGTAAAACCCTTTCCCTCTAACTGACAAGTGGGAAATGGTTTGGGGGTTGCTAGTCCACCATCTCCCTAGGTTGCCGGCTTCCTGAATAAAGCATCTTTCTATTTTCAACAACCCTTGTCTCTTGGAACACTGAACAAGAGCAGCTGAACCTGAGATTGGTTCCAGCTCCAGCTGGTAACTATTTTTAAGCACCTTATTTGAAAAGTCATTTGTCATAAGGAAAATAAAACCCATATTGTAAAGGTGACAAGGCAATAAGGGTAACTCTTGAGCAATATTATTCCAAGTTGTGATCAGGATAAACCATCAGTCAGGGTCAAGGTTTAGCTAGGTAGGGCACATCTTCCTCCAGGAACCCAGAACAATATCACAACAATTTCTGATTCAATACAGTGTAAACATTCTTATGGCTTTCAGGTGTAAGAGAACTCTATAGGTGTAGAATATAGAGTTTACAAATAAAGCCCTCACCTTTCAGGTTGGAGTCTAAGAAATGATAATTATAATAGAAAAAAAAATTCTAATAACTACAAAAGAATGAATATAATTACTGTGTGTGAGCCACTGTGCTCCTCTCACAGGCATTTTTCTCATTTAAATTACATATTCTTGGGCTTCCCTGGTGGCACAGTGGTTAAGAATCTGCCTGTCAATGCAGGGGACATGGGTTCGAGCCCTGGTCCGGGAAGATCCCACATGCACGGAGCAACTAAGCCCGTGTGCCACAACTACTGAAGCCCGCGCGCCTAGAGCCTGTGCTCCTCAATAAGAGAAACCACCACAATGAGAAGCTGGCGCACCACAACGAAGAGTAGCCCCCGCTCACCGCAACCAGAGAAAAGCCCGCGCGCAGCAAAGAAGGCCCAATGCAGCCAAAGATAAATAAATAAATTTGTTTTAAAAATTACATATTCTTTGTGGGTACAGATAAGGAAAAAATTTACTCACAGTCACTGAGGGCTCAGCTACCCGACTCCAACTGAGTTGGCTCAAGTCCCCAGTCCGTCCTCCTAGCACTAGACTCAAGTTGCCCAACCTGCATTTTCTCATTCAGCAATGGGGCCAGGGTCACTTTTCAAGGTGCTTTCCAAATTTAGGTGGACACGGGGCCAGTCTTACTCAGCCGCTCAGGGTTAATTGGGTGAGGGGGTGGGGGTGGCGTGGGGTGGAAACAAATTGACGGTTTGTTGGGTTCATCTAGTTAAAGAAAGAAAGATAAGAAGGGGGAGGAGGAGGTCGAATTCACAGGTTGGAATATTTGTGCTCTTCCTGAGCTTCGAAAACTATTTGCCCGCAAAACAACTGTAAAAGAATCGTTCTTGAGATTATAAATGCTGTAACTACCGTACCAACAGGAGTATCGCCAAGTGTTTAAGTCATACACGCCGTCTGCTCCTACTGCAACCCCTTATTAGGAGCACAAGCAGGCAAAACCTCGGCAGCGATCGCCGGGCTGGGCGCTGGGCCGGCATCGCCCACGCCCAACGCGCGCAGCCGAGGGGTGGCTCCCGGCCGGCCGGGAGCCGGTCTGGGAGCACCTGGCCACGCCTCCATTCTGCCGGCTTTCTGGGCGGGCCCGGGCCGGGGGTGGGCGCGGCGGCGGCGGAGGCGGAGGCGGCGGCGCTGAGGAACGACCGCTGTCGCGCGGCTTAAGACTTGGGCGGTGGCTCTGTTGGTCTGTCGGCCTTCGTCCTACGTAGCAGGGCGCGCGCGGCCGCGATGAGCTGGGACCTGCTGCTCTGGCTGCTGGCGCTGTGCGCGCTGCTCTCTCTCGTGGTGCAGCTGCTACGCTTCCTGCGGGCCGACGGCGACCTGACCCTGCTGTGGGCCGAGTGGCAGGGGCGACGCCCAGGTGAGGACCCGCAGCCGCCTTTCCGGAGTGGGAGGCTGGGCTCCATGCGGTCCGATTTCCGCTGCCTTCGCGTCCCTCGCGAAGGATGGCGTGGAGCTTCCGGGAAGCGAGGCTGCGGTTCGGGGAGGAAGGGGTCGGGGCCTTTTGTCTTCTGTCCTGGTCCGTATGGACTTGCCTGGTTGCCAGCGTAAGAGAGCATTGTGGGGCGCCCACAGATCTCAGAATTCTCAACCCCCGCTCCCAGGGATTCAGATGCAGCGTGGGAGGACAATACTTTGAGAAACAGTGCGTTCGTAAAGGAGACTCCTTTTGAGGCTACTTTGTGCGGTTGTTTATCTGCCATTTCTCACTCTACTCAGAGTAGCGAAATAAAATTTGAGGTAATCCAGAGTCACCCACATACCTGCTTACTCATTGGGATAAAAGTATAACCATAGAAAGAACTGGATTGGCGTTTTGCCTGGAGGAAGATCATTACTGGCATACTAAAAGGCGTTCTGCCTGTCTCACTTTTATCTTTGCCCTGCTTAATATTTGATGGTCGTTTACTAAACGCATTCTATGTGCTAAGCACTGGGCTAGGCCCTTTTCACACATGACAGGTCACCTTTTCAGTGACTCTTAAGCTTATTTTCCAGATAGGGAAACTAATGCTCAGAGAAATTCAATAGACTGCCCAGAGCTAGGCTTTGGATCTGTAAGGGCCAGGGGGGAAGTGGGATTTCCCTGGACCTAGTTTCCTGTATGAAACTATCCAAATTATATGAGGAGGTTTGCTTGGAAGTGATAACTAGTATGCTTTAAAAATGGAGCCAGTCATATACCCTGAGAAAACCATAATTCAAAAAGAGACATGTAACCCAATGTTTGTTGCAGCACTATTTACAATAGCCAGGCGGACATGGAAGCAACCTAAATGTCCATTGACAGATGAATGGATAAAGGAGATGTGGCACATATATACAATGGAACGTTACTCAGTCATAAAAAGGAACGAAACTGAGTTATTTGTAATGAGGTGGATGGACATAGAGTCTGTCATACAGGGTGAAGTAAGTCAGAAAAAGAAAAACAAATACCGTATGCTAATGCACATATATGGAATCTAAATAAAAGATAATGATGAACCTAGTGGCAGGGCAGAAATAGAGATGCAGATATAGAGAACGGACTGGAGGACACGGCATGGGGGGGGAGGCGGGGTTGGGAAGCTGGGACGAAGTGAGAGAGTAGCACTGACATATATACCCTACCAAATGTAAAATAGGTAGCTGGTGGGAAGCTGCTGCATAGCACAGGGAGATCAGCTCAATGCTTTGTGATGACCTAGAGGGGTGGGATAAGGAGGGTGGGAGGGAGGCTCAAGAGGGAGAGGATATGGGGATATATGTATACATATGGCTGATTCACTTTGTTGTACTGCAGAAACTAACACAACAGTGTAAAGCAATTTACATTAAAACTGTTAAAAAAAAAAAAAAACCCAAAAACTGGAGCCAGGGAGGGAAGAGGAGCCATATCACTTACACAGGGGTGAGAATTGGTTCTTGGGGACAGAAAAAATTATTAGATGGTACAATGTTTTATGCCCCTCCAAAGCTCATCTCTACCCAACAAAATATTATTCCTTAGTATTTCATTTTTCTTCTTGGGTTTTTGGGGGGTATAGCATGTGTAGGGCTGACATTGAGTTCATGGAAAATACATAACACATGTGCAAGATCAGGGCTACAGAACTATGGTAAATAGATGGCTGTGATTGGTAGACTTTCTCTTAGTCATTTGCTCCATCTCAACAGATGGAATGCATGTGCCTGTTGGCTGCTTTGTGGATGTTTGTGTTTGACCCTCAGTGCTTTTGTGTTAATTGGACTTTGAGAATTTCATTAAAATATCTTATATTTTATTATTCTATAAAAGTTATTCAACTGATAATGTCAAGTGCTGAAAAGGAAAAATGTTGACAATATCTAGCAGCTAGTTAAATGAAAAGTTATTTTAACATATCAAGTAAAAGTTAAAAGTTAAGGTGGCTAAAGGTAATTTTTAAGAAATTCATTTAGTTTTTTCAGTGTCTTACTTTTGCTGGAAAAGTATCAGTTTTGAAGGGTTTTTTTTAATACATTTAATTACTTTGCTATTATTATGTAGCTGTATAATTTGCCAACTTACATATGTAATATAATACATTACAATTTAATACATTACAAAATATTTAGCAAAATAACTTTTGTAAGTTTACAGTTGTAAAGTTAAATGTTAATAGCTTTTAAATTTTAACTTAACTTTTAACTTAATTTTTAAATTTCACCATTCTTAAACCTGCATTGACTGAAGAGTAAACTTTATAGAACTCCTTTTATGTATAAAGCACATAGATATATGTAAATACATAAACAGATGTACAGTATATCTGTGAAATTAAAATGTCTTGGAGGAGTTATTAGGAAAAAATGACTAAAAAGACATTTAGGGGCTGGGGGTGGGGGTGAGGTGATAATGAAAAAAAAAGTAACATGAAGATAGACTCAAGTTCCCAAAACAGCTCAGCCTGTAAAGATGGGCAGACTCTTTGAAGGTTAAAAAAAAATTATCCTCTTTTTCTTCTCTATAGGTTTATTACTTTTTGTCACTTTAAAAAATAGACAATATACTCACATAAGGCAAATTTTAAAAATACAAAGGGATGTATGGTGACAAGTAAAGTTCTCTTCCACCCTTGTCTCCCAGCCACCCAGTATGCCTCTTTGGAGGCAACCACCATTTCCTGGCTTTTATGTATCCTTCTGGAGATAGTCTCTGCATTTCCAAGCATGTATCTCACATGGTGAAATTTAAGAGTGACTAATTTTAGGTATTGCATGTAGATGCAGAAAAATCCATGGCACCAGTCCAGAGTAGGAAAAGTCTCAACAGCAGCACATGTGAGGAAGACTCAGATTTTAGTTGGCAGTAACCTCGATGTGAGTCAACTGTGAAGTGCCAGAAAAGATTAGGCAATGCTGGGAGATGTTTAGTGTCTGATGGAACAAACTGCAAACAACAGCAGATGTCTTCTGAATACCTGCTTGTGTTGGCCTCTGTGCTGGGCACTGGGGACACAGCAGTGACTGAGCCAGCCACTGCCTGGGCCCTCATGGAGCCTTCCTTCTGAGGGACAAGGGAAGTGATTTAGTCATGTCACCTTGCTCTGAACTGTCCAGACCCCATGGGAATCCTGTGTCCTGCTCTGGCCAGCTCCTTTCAGTAGGAACATTGACCAGCTGGAGCTTGTGCAGAGGGTATGAGCAGAAGAGTGAGGAAATCGGATGCCATGTCATCTGAGGGAAGGTAGCAGAAATTGGAGGTGTTTAGCCTTAGAGAAGCAAAAGATGAAAGGACGTAGGGAGGACATAACAGCTGTCTTCAAATAAATGAGACACTGTCATGTGCAAAACAGGCTTGATTTATTCTTCCTGACACCACAAGGCAGAACTGCTGCCAACGGCTGCTGGTCCATAGAAGTTAAAGTTATCAGTATAAAAAAGAATCCCTGAACCCCTTAAGTGATTAGACTTGCCTTAAAAAGGAACCGCTGCCTCAGAGATAACTAGCTTACTCTTCCTGTGAGGAAATTAAGTAGAGACTAGTCAACAGCCTGAGGGGAGAATTCTGAAACTGGGTTGAGGGTTGAACTCTAAGTGTCCTTCCAACTCCAAGAATCTGCTTTCACAAGGTCTTTAGGGGAGGCCAGTTATATATGCCAGATTCTGTTGAATTGTTAAACAAAAGTTGGTGCTGAATAAAAAAGTTTTCTTCTCCAGAGTGGGAAGAAGGGTGCCAGAACTGCAGGTGTACTAAGGTAAATGTGAGCCTGCGGGTTTTCATTGTTGCATTTAAATAATGTTTGCATATTGGTATACAAATGAAGAAATCTTTGTTAGTTCTGTGCTAGTTAGTAAATAGTTACAAATTATATTCACCTTGGAGTCTTGTGTATTGCAGAACTTTGGAACAATGCGTCATCAATGAATGACTATCTGAATATACATTCTGCTATTCCTGATAAAGTCCTTCAGGAAGCTTGCTTAGTTGAGCCTTTCCACAAAAGAACATCAGATGTGGGAGTTCCCTGGTGGTCTAGTGGTTAGGACTTGGAGCTTTCACTGCAGTGGCCCAGGTTAGGGAACTGAGATCCTTCAAGCTGCAGCCAAAAAAAAAAAAGAAAAGAAAAAAGTATATCAGATGATAGGAAAGCATTGTAGCCCAGACACAGTATTTGGGATGTTTCTGTCCTTAGTTCAGATATTTACATGACACCTCTTTCATGAGGACATTTTCTTGAATGGCTAAGACAGTTGGGTTCTAAGATATTGATCTTATTAAAACGTGGTCAGTGTAGGCTAGTGATCAGAGTGTGGGCTTTGGAGCTAGATATACCTGGACTCCTATCCTAGCTCTGCCAGGGTTCTTGGGTGTTTATTCAACAGTGATTTATGGAGTGCTTTCTCTATGCGAGTCTCTGTGCGATGCACTGAGGACACAGCAATGAATAAGGGAGTCAGGGTCCTAGCCTTAAGGAAATTTACAGTCTAGTGCTGTAAATTAATCTGTAAACCTCAGTTTCCTTTTCTATAAAACTGAGATAATTCTTGTTTCATAAGGTCCTTGTGAGGGTTTTCATAAGGTAATATGTTTAAGCACATAGGAAGCAATGAAAAAATGTTAAGCCATTAAAGTTAGTAACCTCATTGCCCCTGGCTGGAGAAATTACAACATACAACGTGTTTTGCTGCCACAAAGTCCATTTGTTAAACAATTTTAGCAACAATTACAGTTGACATTTTATTAAGCACTGAGTATGTGTCACACACTGCTCTGAGTGCTTTACGTGTTTTAACTCATTTCTCTCAACAGTCCTATGAAGGAGGTTTTATTATTAATTCAGTTTTCCAGGTTTGGAAAATTAAGGCACCAAGTTCTCACATGGGACCATTTCATTGCTGTGTGTGACACGGCTGGAACTTGAGCCGATAGTCTCCAGAGCTCGTACTGATTACCCGCCAATTAGGTTTTAGAATTGTTTGACTAAAACAGTAAACTAGTTTCCTGATTTTAACTTTTCTGATCTAAAATCAGCAATGTGTATCTTAAATAAAACCTTGTTTGCTATTTTTGATAAATAACATTTTAATAAGGCACACAGGAACACTGCACTACAGTGACTCTACGAATTCAGATGGACGGTGGCTATTGTGTGCTTCAGTGCAAATAAGTTTTTCACTGGAGAATAAACCACTCATCATTGCTTTGTTTTACATTTTTACAATCTTTAACAAGATGATACTTGGGCAAGCAGAGTACATTTCATTGCTCATATGTATTTTTTCTTGGGTGAACTACTAAATTCTTCTAAGGTGAAAGCTCAGGCATTTGGGGGGCACTAAAAACCTTTAGTTGATAGGCATCAGATATGATTGACAAATGGGGAAAATATGACTTTAAAAATCCAGGGTGCTTCTACCATACCCTAGAGTAGAACTTGGTATATTCAGATTTGCAAGAAATTAGAATAATAGAATTGAAAACTGGATGGGACTTTTAGTGATCATCTTATCTGAATCCCTCATTTATGAATAAGGAAAGTGAGAATGTGAATCCAGATACTTTCTATTTACTTACCCTTACTTTTCTTGATCAAATATACAGATAAATAGAGCCTTAGAGTCAGACCATGGAGTTATACCTTGAAGTAAAGTCTGGAAAACTCACCAAGAGCCGAGAATACACAAAATAACATGGTGATAACTGTTACTAATATGATTTGTAGCACTAAGTAGGAAGTGTTTTCTTAGGATATTTAATTTAAAAAAATTTAAACCATTTTATTGAGGTATGATTATAAGAAACTGTCCATATTTAATGTATACAACTGGATGAGTTTGGGGATAAGTATACACCTGTGAGACCATCACCACAATCAAGGCTGTAAACATAAGATATTTAAATTTTTAAGCACCACACATTATGTCTTCATATTCAGTGATATTGTTTAAAACTACTTTTTTCCTTTGGTTAATCTTTGATTTATGGATGTAACCCATAGCTTATTTTCTCCCCTCAATCCCCACTCCTTTTTCAATAGAATGGGAGCTGACTGATATGGTGGTGTGGGTGACTGGAGCATCAAGTGGGATTGGTGAAGAGCTGGCTTACCAGCTGTCCAAACTAGGAGTTTCTCTTGTGCTGTCATCCAGAAGAGTGCATGAGCTGGAAAGGGTGAAAAGAAGATGCCTTGGTAAGTAAATCTAAAATAGCAGCAGTGCTTCCTAGAAGTAAATCAGAACCCAAAGTCAAAATTTGGGAATTTTAGAGAGAAGAGGGGGATTCTCCTGGGCAGTGGACTCTGTTTCCAAATGCTCTACATGCTTTGATCCAAGTCCTCTTCCTTTTGTCATCTCTTAGTTAGCTGGCCTGGCCTTTTTCTTCTCTTTTTCTGCCATATTTCTACTTTTTTTTGACACTGGTTCTTAGCATTAGGGAGTGACCATCAATTCTCTCAAATGCTAGTGGATTTTTAGTGACCAAATAAATGTCTTACATTTTTGTCTTAGAGAAAGAACAGTTTGGTTCTTACGTATGATATACATGTATGTAACCAGAGAAATTTAATTGACATTTTGGTAAAACATCAGATATTAAAATCATAGGAAATGGTATAAGATTTTTGTTACCAGGAATAAACAGGAATAGAGTTAAATTTCTTGGGGGGGCATGCCACACATGTGGGATCTTAGTTCCCGGACCAGGGATCATACCCATGCCACTTTGCAGTGGAAGCACGGAGTCTTAATCACTGGACCACTAGGGAAGTCTTGGAATAGAATTAAGTTTGAAAAATGCAACTTGAGGTAATATTTTTCATATATATAGGACAACAATGTTTTTGTCGGTTTGGGTTTTGGTGTAGTTATGTTCACAGTGAAAGCAGCCTCAAGTAATAAAGTTATTATTTCTCATGGGACATTTAGTATCTACACTGAAATAATTTTGAATTTTCCAGTAGACCATTTTTTGGGTCATTTACCTGTCATTCTTTAAAAATCTTTCTTTCACTTTGCTGATGGAACTAACCACCCAGAAACAGAGTTAGTTGCCAAGGCCACAAGCCCTCTTTCACGATATTGCTTTCAAAGGCTTCTTGTGTTTTTGAACTGGGCCACTTCTTAACGGCGGTTGCTCCTCCTCTGTTGAGACTTGCACTGGCAGAAATGAACCATAACAGCATTTCTTAGCTGGAGTAAGGCTGTTTCCTTTTGTCAGATCATTAGTCCAAACTATTTCTTTTAAAAAACAGTTACTGTTTCACAGTTTACTCCTTTGCCCATAAAGCCTTTACACTTGTTTTCTCTACTTACTTGTTTTTCTTATTGAAACACAACCTTGTTGTATTTCAAGGTTATTCAAGGAAATTAGTTTCAGTTGCTCTTTTGATGAACAGAAATAGAAAGGGCCATTACAGCACAACTTGTTTCTTGGTTGTGAATTTCAGGATTGTATCCTTTTCCTTGTTTGCCTCCTAGAAACCTTAGCCTCTGGAAGGAAGCTTCTATGTGTCATGTGACTGGAGGACTCAACTTATTGATTTTCAGCATAAAATTTTAAAAAATGTGTTTAAAAATCAAGTAGTGAACCTATCATATAACAGTTGTACAGATGTACCTCTGTACTTCTAAAGAAATTGCTCTAAAATTTTTGCTTTTTTTAGTTTGTAGTATAATCTTGATTTCTTCTAGAGTCTGTTCCAATATTAGGCTGTATATATTCAAGCTGAAGAGAGGAATTCTACTTCCTGTGTACCCAGCTTTTTGTCCGATGATATGTTGCCATATCACCACTAGTCCTCTTCTTGGTCACTGAAGAGAACCTCATCCACAGGGCCACCCAGAAACGAGTTCATTGCCAAATGTGGTTGTAGGGTGGGTGTTAAATGTTAATGTAAATAGCACATGACTTCCACATTAATTTTTAAGTGTCTTTATTTAGAGAACGGCAATTTGAAAGGAAAAGATATACTCATTTTGCCCCTTGACCTGACTAACAGAAGTTCCCATGAAATGGCTACCAAAGCGGTTCTCCAGGAGTTTGGCAAAGTAAGTAGCATTTTGAGTGCATGAATCTTGCTTTGAAGTAGCTGCAAAAGAGATTCCCATCTATGGTGCTGTCATTCAAAGGGCTTTAGGCAAATGGGTTCATGCAGTGTGATGAAGGCCCATGAGTTGGGCCTCTTAATCTCTGAGTCTGTGGCTTTATGTAATTAGAACTTTTCCTCCCTTAACAAATACTAACTCCTCCATGTAGAACAAAAGAAGCTAAAAATCCACTGTGCCTATTATTTTTGTGACACATTATTTTCCATAAAAAGTCACTTAAGTTGAGAATTTAGTTCCATAGGTGAATTTTGATTTTCCTTTTATCTTTTTTATTGCTGACTTCTGGAAATATACCATCCTGTTCCATTGATTCATCAAGTTAACAATATAACCAGCCATCCCTGGGAATTCCAACAATACATTTACAGGTCATCTCTAAAGTGCCCCTTTTCTGATTTTCTTTAATTAGATTGACATTCTGGTCAACAATGGTGGAGTATCCCAGCGTTCTTTGTGTGTGGACACCAGCCTGGACGTCTACAAGGAGCTAATAGAGGTTAACTACTTAGGGACGGTGTCCTTGACAAAGTGTGTTCTGCCTCACATGATTGAGAGGAAGCAAGGAAAAATTGTTACTGTGACTAGCCTCCTGGGTGTTATATCTGCACCCCTTTCTGCTGGATATTGTGCCAGCAAACATGCTCTTCAGGTAAGGCTGCCAAAACTCAACTCAGATAGAACTGACCTGAATGTGTATATGGGGCATATGGCCTTCACTGCAAGAGATCAACAGAACTGGGTAGTGATGTATGGAGACAGAGAGAGACCCAAGGAGATCTCGGGTAGAAGACTTACCCAGAAGATGCTAAAAAAGACTTGAGCCCTACATGCCTCTTCCTAATTTAGCAAACATGTCTTGAGCACCTACACTGTGTTATGCACTGCAACAGGTCCTGGGAGTATAAAGATGATAAGATATGATATGATCCCTGCCCTTGAAAACTGTATAGTCTAGTTGACATGTCACCCTTTACCTTATCCTCATTTCTAACACATCTTCATGGCAAATTTGGGGTCTACCCCTTGTTTCTTCTACACACATTTCAGGATGTACTTGTCCTCCTCATTTCTGTGACTTCTTTTTCCTTCCCCATTGTTGTTGGTGTTTATTTTACCTGAATTTCTAAATGTACATGCATGTCAGACATAGGAACTGCCCACTGAATGATGAGCCCTGCCTGCGTTTCATATCCCTACTGGGACTAGCCTTGACTCTGTTTACTCTGATTTCATTGGAAGAAGAAAATCTAGTTAAGGCAGAGTCTCGGAGAAAGCTTAATTTGGCTTGCATAATTTATGAGATGTGAATATTAGAAACGAATGAACTTTTAATGTTGGCTTAAGAGTGGATAAGAAATGTTACTAAACTATAACATGGAGCAAATTAAATCGTAAGGCCAGTAGGAGGAGAATGATTAAGAAAGACAAATGATTTATAATTAATGCTGTTGAAGGTCGGTGTGAGTAGAATGTTTCACTTTTGGAATAATGAGATGCAATAGTTGAATGGTCATCAGTTTCATGAAAATTTGGAGCTTTGGTTCCTTAGGATCCTCTTTCTGCTGTGAAGAGCAGATAGTTGCAGAGTGATGAAATGAAATACGGGATTGATGATTTCCTCATATTTGGTAATGGGGTATCATTTACTTCCTGCAGAGCAGTTGGGCAAGTCTCAGGCAGGCAGATAAGGGAAGTTGGCCACCCCATCTGTTTCGCACTTAGTATCTCATAAGACATGCAGGATGCTTTCAATCAAACACAATATGAGTTGTCTGGCCTGCCCTCCAAGACTCACTGTTTTATTATTGGATTTGATCATCTGATACCATGTGGCAGGTTGAGACTCTTGTTATATCAGTAGCTGAACACTGAGACCAGGAGGCTCTTTTTGAAGAGCACATTTCCTTCCCCGATACCCAGCAAGCTAGAGAGTAAACTTATTTGTCATTCAGAGGTTCACACGCTATACTAGATGTGATTTCAAACAAGGAGAGGTTTTCGTGTCTGGTGTATTGGCTTTCATGGTGTCGTCTCCCCTCTTTTGCTTACAGTGGCAGAAGGTTAACGGTGCAGGAGTCCATTCATGAAGCCTTTTTTCCTGTCCATCAGTCAGGCACTGTATTAGTCTCTGACAGCGTGAACCCTCAAAGACCCTGTGTTTGTTAGGCATCAGCATTAAAGGCTGGTAACTGTTTGATGTTATTGGATCATAAATGAATGTACCCTGGGTTAGCTGCTTAGGCTTTTCAATTAATTCAGTTTATCACAATGTAGTCTTGGACTATTTCCTGATTTAGAGAGGAGATGAAGGGATGCAGATGTTTACTCCCTATTTGGTTTAGAAATGGGCAGTATCTTTTAAGTCTAGAGGGTCCAGCTTGTTTTTACAAAAGCCATTGAGTAAGCAATCATATTACATTTTTAACTAGCCGTGTACTGTCTTACTACCCCCAAAATATAAATCTTTGCTGAAACTAATTATCTATTCAAGTAGTAATTGAAAAGGTTGAACTGTTCCTCTGTGATAGTTTCGGTTTAGTACTAATCCCCGCTTGCTCCCCCTTGCCCCAACATCTGCACTTTAGGCCACTTTGAGGGAGAAAAAGAAACCCAGCCTCAGTGATGCTCAATGGGGAACATGCAACCCTTTTGGAGTGGGGAGCTGGCGGCAACTGGGTGGGAGGGTGTATCAGGCTCTCCACGGGTAGTCTCTCACTTATTCAGTGCTAAATCACTGGTGGCACGAGCTGCCACTGCCAATGCGGGGATGAACCATTCATACCTGGAAAGAGCTGAGAATGCCTCTTCTAGATTGCCTTCAGTCTTACACTTAAAAATGCCTCATCTTGCGTAATTACATTTCCTAACCTTTACTCAGAACATATTTTCTGCTGCTGTTGTCCTTCATAAAAAGTTGAAGAGGGGCTTCCCTGGTGGTGCAGTGGTTGAGAGTCCGCCTGCCAATGCAGGGGACACGGGTTCGTGCCCTGGTCCGGGAAGATCCCACATGCCGTGGAGCGGCTGGGCCCATGAGCCATGGCCGCTGAGCCTGCGTGTCCGGAGCCTGTGCCCCGCAACGGGAGAGGCCACAACAGTGAGAGGCCCGCGTATTGGAAAAAAAAAAGAAAAAAGTTGAAGAAAAGTAATTCTGTACTATTAGTAAACATGAGATATGTGTCTGTATTTAATTTTACTTGCTTTTTTTTTTTTTTTTTTTTTTTTTTTTTAAATTGTACCGTGTATGAGGTTCCTATAAAGAAGGCAGCCCCAAATTTTGGGGTGGCTCTTTTTGATTTTGGTTTCCCTAATCCTAGTGCCCTAG